ATAGGTTAGGAGCAGGACAGGCAGTGTAACAGATCAGGAGTGTGATAAACACCCAGAAGCAGGCAGGGAACAGAGCCTTCAGAGGAAAGGAAAGGGAAAGGGGGATATCTACCGTAATTTTCGGACTATAAGCCGCGCCTTTTTTCCCATTTTTCGACCCTGCGGCTTATATAACGGTGCGGCTAATCTATGGATTTTTACAGCTAACGGCCACTAGAAGACCTCCTAAATCTATGGATTTTACAGGTTACAGTCCACCAACTTTAACTCTATGGGCTCTATGACCGGTCCGCGCCCCCCACCTTTAAGCGGCGGGCTCCAGCAGGAAAAGCTGGAGGCCGGAAAAGAGTGAGACAGGTAGCGCGCAAAAGTAAAAGTGGAACCGAGAGTGGTACGAGAGACAGAACGAGAGACAGAACGAGAGCAAGACAGACAGACATTACGAGAGCGAGACAGTTTGTCTCTTTCCCGACAATTCCCTCTGTGCACGAACCCTTACATATGGTAATTAAACATTAAAACACCTGCGGCTTATAGTCCAGTGCGGCTTATATATGTACACATCATTCAATTTAGCTGCTGCGGTTTATACTCCGGTGCGCCTTATAGTGCGGAAAATACGGTAGTCAGTTGTACAACTGAATGCATTCAACTGAAATTTGTATTCTGCATTTAACCCAACCCCACTGAATCAGAGAGGTGTGGGGAGCTGCCTTAATCAACATCCACGTCATCGGCTCCCGGGGAGCAGTTTTTCTTGGGGGTTAACTGCCTTGCTCAGGGGCAGAACGACAGATGTTTACCTTGTCGGCTCGGGGGGATTCGACCCAGCAACCTTTCGGTTACTGGCCCAACGCTCCTACCCGCCAGGAGGGAAGGAGGCACATGACAAGTGATTCTGTTCATGTCCCACTCTGCTATACTACGTTGGTGTGTTCTCAGCCCGGCTGTGGAGAATGCAATGAGTTACGCAACCTCTTCCATCGTGGCTGGTTTTTGGATGCCAGTGTTGCATAAGAAGAACATGATCAGAGCTATGTTAGCAGCTATGTTCTGATATAGCCTAGATATGAAGGTGTTCTGATTGGGGGTATCCAACACCACTTCGGAATAAGCATGGTCATACAGTTCAGGACAAGACAGAGCCCAGGTTATTCAATGGACACCAAATGGAAGAATACAGATAAAACGTATAGTCCAATAAAAAAGTATTGTTTTCATTTTCTTTTGCAAAATGTTTTGCTACAATGCCCTAATGAATATGACTCAGGTTTTTGTGTGCGGCTCCTCCCTGAACCCCTGTAACCCTGGAGGGAGCCACTGCAGAATCAGGAAATTGAAAATGCTAATTAGTGGTGTGCCTGGCGGAGCCAGCGGGGGCCGGCCTGTTAGAACATGTGAGACGTGCCGTCCCCTGTGGCCCCTGTGTCCCCCAGGACCGGGGGAGAAAAGACAAAGAGGAGCGAGGAGAATAAACCCGAGAGATGATCACGGACGCCACGTTCCCGATACCGCCTGCAGGAGAGCCACATGTTTACCTGTCTCTGATTGGTCCACACCTTGGAGGAAAACATATTTCTGCCTGCCCCTAGTTTATCCCTCTGTGCCCTGTCGCTGGCTCTCTCTCTCTCTCTGTCTCTCTGTCTCTCTCTCTCTCTGTCTCTCTGTCTCTGTCTCTGTCTCTGTCTCTCTCTCTCTCTCTCTCTCTCTCTCTCTCTCTCTCTCTCTCTCTCTCTCTCTCTGGTTTCTGTCACACTTCAACTCCATTATTATTGTCTCCTGACTGCTCCCGTCATGTCGTAAAAACACTCCACAGACAGAGCATGAATGGAACCACACATCGATTTCACCCGGTTCGTAAAGTGGTAGCTACACTACATGGTCAGAAGTATGTGGACACCCCTTCAAATTAGTGGATTTCGCTATTTCAGCCACACCCGTTGCTGACAGGTGTATAAAATTGAGCACACCGCCATGCAATCTCCATAGACAAACATTGGCAGTAGAATGGCCTGTACTGAAGAGCTCAGCTGCTTTCAACGTGGCACCGTCATAGGATGCCACCTTTCCAACAAGTCAGTAGTCAAATTTCTGCCCTGCTAGAGCTACCTCGGTCAACTGTAAGTGCTGTTATTGTGAAGTGGAAACGTCTAGGAGCAACAACAGCTCAGCTGCGAAGTGGTAGGCCACACAAGATCACAGAACGGGACCGCCGATTGGTGAAGTGTACAGCGCGTAAAAATCGTCTGACCTCGGTTGCAACAATCAGCTCTCTGGGACCCCAGATGACTAGTCACAATGATGTGATGAAAGCCCATCCAGTCTACAGACATGTCCTCTTTTATGTATGAACCAAGAGCACTTGTTCAGTTCTCCCTCAGACCCCTGCTGTTCCTCTGATCTTCTGGACTTCACAGAGGCTTCACCAACCCAAGACCAGTTATTATATAAGGCTGTTATTTTGACCTGTATTGCTACTGTCTCACACAGTGTTTGAAGAAAGCTTCCTCTCACAGCCGAAATACAGATTGGATATCTGACCATGGTAGGCCTTTTGCAGTTTTCACCACTGGCACTAAACTATGACTGGTACTTTTGTTCTCCTTGCAGGAGTCTGAGGGGCTAGGCCCAGCGGGCGACATAGACCTCACCATCCCCATGTCTAAAGAGGAGCAGCAGGAGTACTTGTGCTGGAAGATGGAGCGCGAGCAGATCGACCGTGAACGCGTGGCGCGACACAAAAATGCCAAGGGCCAGTGGAGACGGGCATGGGACATGGACAAAACAGAGAATATGTAAGCCCACTCCTCCCCTGGCTGCTTTGCACTTCTTCGCTTTAGTTTGCTCTGTCAATCATTTCAGTTTGCATGTTTGGCTGTTCTGTTTGCTTGATGCATGTTTGAGTGCTCATTTTCCATTTTGATTATAAATTCATGTTACAATTAAAAAATGAGTACTCTTCTGTATGTGCTCGTCTTCGTGTTCTCACAACAACTACAGCTTGCAGCTAACTACCACACATCTCATCTCTTACCATGCAATATAGACCATTCGCTTGTCATTGTAACTAAACTAAAACATTAACTAATTCACTCATCAAGCAGATTACCTTCTCTGTTACCTCATTGTTCAATAGAGGAAGTATCCCGGTCTTTCTATCTTCTGTAGTTCTATATGTAGAAATGGTTGCATTGACTGTTTTCTAAGGAAGCGCAGAATTATGTCTGTGGAGAGAAGATAGTGGTACAAACAGGGAAAGAGCTGTGTTTTTTTTCTTTCAAGGCTATGGCCAGTATTATCTGCTGAATGTGTTGTGGCCTTTACCAAATGACTGGTAATGAACTAATAGGCTTGTCCCGATTGTTGTGACTCTCTAAGGCAGGGTTTCCCAAACTCGGTCCTGGGGGCACCCCCTGGTTGCACGTTTTGATTTTTGCCCTAGCACTACAAGGCTGATTCAAATAACCAACTCATTATCAAGCTTTGATTATTTGAATCACCTGTGTAGTGCTATGGCAAAAAACTAAACGTGCACCCAGGGGGGGCCCCAGGACCGAGTTTGGTAAACCCTGCTCTAAGGTACTTTCAGAATGTTAATTTACTCTGGTGGAAGATTTCCATTGTTGGAGGTATTCACGCGATCCATATTTTGGACCACGCCTATCCCATGATACTGATTTCACACTGTCACAAGACTTAATCCAATTAAGTCACAAGACATTAATAACAAGTCACTGCAAATGTAATGATGTTGGATGGAGACTGGCAAATAATGCTATTAGAGGGAGGAGGTGGAATGACCTGGCAAAAATGTGTTTGTTCTCTTCTCTGAGGTATCGTCTTTATTGGATCACCTCTGTTTATGAGCCATTCTTAGAAAATGGCTTTGATCAATCTTGAAAGGGTATTTATCCTATAGTAATCTAAGTACCCTCTCCCTAGTATTCTTACCACCCTCTCCCTTTGTTAGCTATGCTAGACATTGGGCACTTTCACTAGAATAAGTTTGTGGTAAGCTGACATGCAAAGTTTTGGAACCATGGAGAAATTATAGAAGTAGGCCAGTTTTAGGCCTTGAGCGCCACAGAATGAAAACATCTGCTTATTTATAGCCTACATGATTTGATTATGGAACCGACTATTTTACTATGTATGGAGCCACTGTCCTTTCACGCAGTGGCGTCCTTACTGCTTACCGGGAAAATATATGAACACCCCTCCTCTTTCTGTCCCTGGTTAGTATTCAAACACAACAGATGTGCTGTGAGCAGCACAGTGGCTGGATAAATAAATGTTCTGTTCAGAAGAAAGAAGCATCGAACTTTAAAGAGACGAGAGAACAGAATACTTTTTAGCTGGGGTCCTTTTGGGGCATGGTTTTAAAAAGGCCCCAGAGACTAACTAGAGAAGGACAAATATTTTTGATTCAGCAGTTTAGATGTTCTCAATGAATGAGGAGTGTAGGACCATGACCTCTAGCTACAGATTTGTAATGGGCTAATGTGATTCTCCATTAGCCGTTACAGGAAAGGTACTGTTTGGCATAGCACAGAGAATTTTAGACCAACCTTAACTTGCCGATGCTATCTTCATTCTCGATTCGGTCAAATGTTTGTGTCCAGTTGCAGGTGGTTTGTTTTGAATTTAGAAAATGCACCGTTATTAAAATAAATATATTTTTTGCTCCATTAAGTAATCCAACAATGTGTAAGCCGCCATCTTGTCTATTTCAAATCTTCTCTCATTGATTGAGAGCGTTACAAATCTGTAGCTACATGACCTCAAGATACCACAGTCATCTCTGTACAATGTCTCATTCTAGCTCTGAGCTCAGCAAGTAATGATTACATGGAAATGAAAATGGCTGTTGAGTGAAGGTAAATGTAAATTTTAGGATAGTGGAACAATACAGATATTTGAGAAATGTCCAACCAAATGCATTGGACTCTTCATTAACCCTGGTAGGTAAGAGTTTGTCTGTTTACTTTAACACCAAAACCATGGCCTTGTTATCTGATAGTTAATCTGTTGCTGGAACATCCTGGCTGTATATTAGGTTTTAGTTATTTTGCTGTAAACTAAATGTCTCTATTTAGGTTTTCAGATAAATCTCCTAGGGAGAGAGAACGGGGGCCTACAGCCAGAGGTGAGAAATTCACTCTGTAATAAATTATTTTCAACTCAAACACAGGAATAGTCAGACTATAATCAAGTCTGTCTTATTTCCAGTGATACCCAATAATTGTTGATCTTGTTTGATTTCCAGGAGGAAGAAATGCAAGGAGAGGTCACCCCAAATCAAATGCTGATTCACGGGGTGAGTTTGAATGCTTTATACTGTGTACCAGCAGCTGAATCATTTAAATCCTCAGTGTTGAAATCCTAAGTACAAGCTACCAATCAGCCAATGATGAAGGAACTATTCTGATGTTTTCCTTGGCTTTGCTTGTTTTCATCTCCAGGTCAGCAGCTGTGGGGCAAAGACAATGGGGGTAGAAACGTTCCAGTGGTCAGCAGTAAAGCCAAGGGCAAGGACCGGCTGACTGGGAGGGCCACGAGGTGAGTAGCAGCATATTTAATCATAACAGCAGCCCGTGTTGATTGAAGGAAACCACACACCTAGCCTGACTGTATGGAAAACACACTGGGGCTTACTCTAAAGAGCACAACGTGTCAAATGACCAAAAACAGCTCATTCACTTTTGCACTCTTCTGTTCTATTTCAAAAAGCCCACTGTTCCAACTTTTTGTGCTGAAGCCATTGGTGAGGCTAGACTGCTTTTAGGTTCTGTTAGCGGTGCTTGAGAGGCAGGTATTGGTGGCTGTGCGGTCCTCTGTGAGATTGAGCCGGCCAGGGGAAAGCGCAATCAGGTCTGTCCAGGCAGAGTGGTCCCTGGCCTCAGTTGCCTGTTATTAGGTTTCGCTGCTGGTGCTAATGGGAAAAGAGCAGAGCGTGAAGAGAACTGCTCAGACCAGCCTACACCTTTCTATCTAGAACTTAAAAGGGTTCTTCGGCTGTCCCCATAGGATAACACTTTGAAGAACCCTTGTTGGTTCCAGGTAGAACCCTTTTGGTTCCAAGTAGAACCATTTTGGTTTCCAGGTAAAACCCTTTCCACAGAGGGTTCTACATGGAACCCAAAATGGTTTTAGCTGGAATAGAAAAGGATACTTTGAAGAATATAGACCACTCATTCTGAATGTTTCTAATAATTATTTTTATATTTCAGATGGGACGCCAACGAGGATGGGGAGGATTTGCAGGTGAGAGGTCTAAACTGAATGCTTTGCACTGACGATATAGCTGTGCTTTGGTGAAAAAATGGCTGTGCTTGGGCTCAACAAAGACATCTCTGTCTTCTTCATCATATTACCAATGGAATTTTCTTTTTTTTCCTTCAGGCCTCTAAGACTAGTTTGGAGGAATTTTTAGAAGAGCTTGATGCTTTGGCTGACCCTGACATAGATGACTCCACTGCAGAAACTCCAGAGGTCAAAGATGGTGACCTCAAAATGGAGTCTTCGCCGACCCTGGAAGTGGTGAATACCAAGGAAGTGAGTGGAAGCGTCAGTCCTCAGGCCCCAGCCGACACCCCAGAGGTCGGGACACCCAGACAGGGGAAGGCTGAGGCCTCATCCCCTCAAGCTACAGAGAAGAAGGTCCGCTTCTCAGAGGAGCTCATCAAGGGGCCCGGGGCCTACGAGAAGCCCAGTACTGGAGCCCAGAACTCTGCCTGCTCAGAAACCAAGGGCATCAGCGTGTTAAAAGTTGCCTCCCCCAGCAAAAACGGCCATCAATTGGAGGAGCAGAGGCAGTCCCCCGAGGACCACCAGGAGGATGCTGGTAATGTCCTGGACTGGGGGGATCAGCCCGCTGCAGCTGACCAGGCACAGAGCTCATCTGATGGGCAGCGACAGGGTCAGGAGGGCCCTCCGTTTCTTGATGCCTCCAAAACAGAATGTGCTGAAATCGGCCATGACGGTGTGCTCAGCCTTATTCTTCCCATTTCACATAGCGATGTCAAAGACCCTGCCCCTCCACAGGAGAATGCTGTCCAGCCTTTAGAGCACGCCAAGAGCAATACAGGTAGGCAATGGTTTTGTTCGTGGTTAGTCCCTATCAAATAGGTACAGTGTACAGTCGTGATCAAACGTTTTGAGAATGACACAAATACACATTTTCACAAAGTCTGCTGCCTCAGTTTTGATGATGGCAATTTGCATATACTCCAGAATGTCATGAAGAGTGATCAGATGAATTGCAATTATTTGCAAAGTCCCTCTTTGCCATGAAAATGAACTTAATCCCCAAAAACATTTCCACTGCATTTCAGCCCTGCCACAAAAGGACCAGCTGCCATCATGTCAGTGATTCTCTCGTTAACACAGGTGAGAGTGTTGATGAGGACAAGGCTGGAGATCACTCTGTCATGCTGATTGTGTTAGAATAGACTGGAAGCTTTAAAAGGAGGGTGGTGCTTGAAATAATTGTTCTTCCTCTGTTAACCATGGTTACCTGCAAGGAAACACGTGCCGTCATCATTGCTTTGCACAAAAAGGGCTTCACAGGCAAGGATATTGCTGCTAGTAAGATTGCACCTAAATCAACCATTTATCGGATCATCAAGAACTTCAAGGAGAGAGGTTCAATTGTTGTGAAGAAGGCGTCAGGGTGCCCAAGAAAGTCCAGCAAGTGCCAGGACCGTCTCCTAAAGCTGTGGGATCGGGGCACCACCAGTGCAGAGCTTGCTCAGGAATGGCAGCAGGCAGGTGTGAGTGCATGTACACGCACAGTGAGGCGAAGACTTTTGGAGGATGGCCTGGTGTCAAGAAGGGCAGCAAAGAAGCCACTTCTCTCCAGGAAAAACATCAGGGACAGACTGATATTCTGCAAAAGGTACAGGGATTGGACTGCTGAGGACTGGGGTAAAGTCATTTTCTCTGATGAATCCCCTTTCCGATTGTTTGGGGCATCCGGAAAACACCTTGTCCGGAGAAGACAAGGTGAGCGCTACCATCAGTCCTGTGTCATGCCAACAGTAAAGTATCCTGAGACCATTCATGTGTGGGGTTGCTTCTCAGCCAAGGGAGTGGGCTCACTCACAATTTTGCCTAAGAACACATCCATGAATAAAGAATGGAACCAACACATCCTCCGAGAGCAACTTCTCCCAACCATCCAAGAACAGTTTGGTGACGACCAATGCCTTTTCCAGCATGATGGAGCACCTTGCCATAAGGCAAAACATCGAAATTTTGGGTCCATGGCCAGGAAACTCCCCAGACCTTAATCCCATTGAGAACTTGTGGTCAATCCTCAAGAGGTGGGTGGACAAACAAAACCCCACAAATTCTGACAAACTCCAAGCATTGATTATGCAAGAATGGGCTGCCATCAGTCAGGAAGTGGCCCAGAAGTTAATTGACAGCATGCCAGGGCGGATTGCAGAGGTCTTGAAAAAGAAGGGTCAACACTGCAAATATTGACTCTTTGCATAAACTTAATGTAATTGTCAATAAAAGCCTTTGACACTTATGGAATGCTTGTAATTATACTTCAGTATACCATAGTAACATCTGACAAAAATATCTCATAACACTGAAGCAGCGAACTTTGTGAAGACCAATACTTGTGTCATTCTCAAAACGTTTGACCACGACTGTATAGCTATCACTATGATGTAATGTAAATAATGCTTGGTTCCCTTCACAGAGGAGCTGATTGACTCCAGTCTGTCTGTTCTCAGCCTGGAGTCAGGAGAGACTCACCCAACCCACACCACCAGTACCGATAAGGTCAGTATGGACTGAGAGAATAAGAATGAAACTGGATGGATGGAAATGAGTGCATGACTCATCTGCATTGTAGTCTGGACTGCGAGAGGGAGAGAATGAGAGAAAGAAACTGTGGATGGATAGAAACGGAGATGAGTGTATGATTCATCATCACTTCAAAATTGGGATTTTTGATTGCTGCATGAGTGCATTCCCTATGCGCTTATAGTGTTCAAGTTGATTTGGAATAGCCAAGAGAGACCATGCATGTTCAGAACCATTGTAGCAGTGTGAAAATTCATTACCAACCGCTGTAGCAGGATGATAATGCCTTACCAACCACAAATATAAGTACTGTATGCCTACCTTTTGAGTAAAAACAATAATGTACTTTTACACCTATTATTTTAAACCACATTGTTTAACCCCTTTTTCATTGATTTGTTTCATAGGCAAGAGAAAATGGGAAGATTGTTTGAAGGACTTTTGACGTTGCTATAAAATGGTCTACAACTGAACAACAACATGCTTAATTAAGTAGAGCATTTACCATGAGCCTTTTAGTTTAATACCGCACTTGCTTCCAATAGCTCTTTGAAGATGTCCTGTTGATCAGGTTAAGACTAACATGCGCAATGTTGTTTCTTTTGAAAGGATGCTAGACGCTTAAGGTGGGAAAAGGAAACGATACATGTTCAACTGAAGTAAGAGCCTTTTGTCTGCTTGAAAATACTTTGCTTACAAGCACTTTATTCTTTATGAGGTATGAGTATTGACATGTCATACATTACTTAAAGCTGGAATCCTTAATGGTGAAACATCCACGTCCGTTTGCGATATTACAACAACAAAGAAGTTACTGCAAACAACGAACACAGTTTTTCCCTCTCGGACATCATTACACGCGTGATAGAAGAGCACAATATGTATTGCAATTTTTTTTACCATGCTGCACGGCGCCCCTCAGCTCGGCAACAATAACAACGGTGGTGGGGCGGCCAGTGGTGCTGTTTCCCCCTACTGCGTATTCCATCTTTAAGTGTGTTATTTGAATGGCTGTCTTTGTTTACATTTGAAGTATTATTTCAAGGTACCAGTCCTAATGCTTGTATTAGTTCAGTTCCTATGGATGACTAACCTACATAACCTGAACAGGCCCTGCATTTAAACTTTGCCCGCCTTAGCAGTAGGCCCAATTTGAATAATGAACTATAATTAGCATTATATGCTAATAGTTGTACACTGCTGTATTTATGTAACTTTTCTAAGTAGAAAGCTCTGACCATTGCACTTAACTACTGATGTGATAGCTCATTCATTCAAACAGTAGTTTATAGCTTGGTTTGGTGAAACCAGTTACATTAAGTAAAAGTCAATTCAAGTGCATTATTTTAGTGTGGGATTACTTTGTAATATAAAGTACAATAGTTATGATTTTCAAATGCAAAAAAAGTTAAAATATAGTTAAAATACTAGAAGGTTCCCTCATCAAGGATCATTGTTCATTGTTTCATATTTATTCAAATGTTTTAGGGGAACCCTTTCACTTTTAGTTTTGAAATGTTGTGGGATTAACTAACTGTCAGTATTGATTTTATTTATTTATTCTCTCATTTGAACTACTGATTGTCAAATATAATTTTCTGGAGAATAAACCCTTACTTGTTGACATGCATCAGAGGCTGGATTGTTTTATTTTAAGTAGGAAAAGGTAATTTATGTATATCCCTTTGTTGTTTTATCATACTTTGATAGTCTGACAACAAAATATGACAGACAGCCTTAGTATATAATAAATAGTAAGTGTATTAATGAAGCACTTACATTCTTCTTTTTAGAGCACTTATTTAGGCAACTCAGTGTACAGCACATGTTGGAGAAGGAACTGTGGCAGTTGTTATCTTCTGACCTGCCAAAGCAATTTTACCTTCAGTAGGATTGGCTTTCCTCAAGCATCATAACACTGGCATTATAAGTACATTGCCATAACCAGATGACAAGTTACAGTAACAGGTTGAGGTCATTTCAATTGTAATTAAAATGACTTTTTGGAGCTGTGGAGGTGAAAAATAAAAGAATGGCTGGAATTGAGAGCTAACATAACTAATGTTATTTGTTAGGAGAAAACTGATATGAATTTCCTCCATAATGTATTGTAGTTGAACGGAACAAATGTATCCTGGGAGAGGGAGAAAGGGAAAGAGTTGGACGTAGGGATGTTTTTATGAGAAGGAGTGGAATTGACTTCAACCATGTGACTGCAGTGCAGAACATACTTCCCTGTTCAGTGACTGTTTGTTTATAGATAATGGTTACAGTTTGTTTGGTAAATGTATTTTATTCAAGGGTTGCTTGATATTTATGTTATCACCAAGGCTTGCCTAATGACACTTGAAAATTGAGAAGTGATTGTCTGACATTACTGCTCCTTTAGACATCAATGTGTATCACCCAACCCTGTGCTCCATGGACTCACACAGGATGTGTGTGTGTGTGTGTGCAGAGAGCTTTATTCACAGCTTTTTTACTGTCAAGTTCCTTGTTTGTTTAACTTGGAAGTTAGCATACAGCACATTCATAAAGTACCCCCTGCTACAGATTCTGTCTTACTCTTTTTGGCATGCTTTACTAGGGTTGCAAAATTCTGAGAACTTTCAATGCATTCTTTGTTTTTCCAGAAATCCTGGTTGGAGGGTTCTGGATTTCCTGCTAATTCCCTCCTGATTCCGGGAATAGCAGGGAATTTATTGAAAGTTCCAGGAATTTTGCAACCCTATCTTTAGACAGAGTATTATCTCTTGTCCCCTGGCCCTGCCCTATACCAGCATGAAAACAGAGTGAATGTGAAATGTATTTTTCCTATTATATACACTACAGTATGTCACATTTGAAATACAATTTACTTCCCATACTCAATTTTGGGACTAATAAGCATCACCAGTGCATTTCTCAAGAGAGGTTTCTGATGATTCACATGCATATCAGCAGTCAACTTCCCCATATCGAATAGCTTATGCAAAGTACTTAACCACCACTGATAGCTGCCAACTTTAGAAAATGATGATACTGTGTGATATGTGTTCCATAAGAGTTGGATTGAATAATGTAATATGACATGATAGCAGCACATGATAACCCTTGATTTGACTGAACATGAAGGCAAAAAACGAATTGTGTTTCAGAATGGGGGACTGTGACAGTGTGGTGTTAAGCTGCCTCCATTTGGGAGTAATTTCTGATTAATTTCAAATGAGCTCTCCATGGGCCTGTTGTGTTGGAGACAGTTCCCTCCATCTTCTCTGGTGAGCGTCCTCCAAGGTGTTACTCTTTTAATTACCTTTTCCACGGGCGTTCTCTAGGGCCACCTGTCATTAAGGCCCTTGGTCCTGTGACCTCTGCATAGTGCTTTGTTGCTCCTTGTTTTTCAGTTGCGTCTGCATCAGCCCTTACTTTCATGTTTCATTGCCTGTTGTTTTCTTCCAGGTAAAAGGCTATCGATCCTCTGTCCCTTTAAAAGACCTGATTCTCATTTCATGGACATGGGGGCACCGTCTCTAGGCTTTCATTCCATTAATGAAAATGTATTAACTCACTGAGCCACCAGATATAATTTATAATCTACAGTTTGAACACATTTAGTGTGCTCTCCCTCCTCTGCTCCCAGTGGCGACTAATAGTTTTTGAGGGGTGTGATGCAACTATGCTTTAACAGTGGGAGTATGAGTAGCTTTGGAAATAAGTGGTACAAACTGATGGGGGATTAAAGAGGAGTGTGGGATTATGCCACCTGTCTTCACACACAGTGAGATAAGATTTGAAACACAGAGCGATTTCTGTCGTAAAGGATGTGACAGCAGCTTGGCTGTCAGTCCAAAGCACTGTAATGTTTGGTAGCAGAGAGGCTCTGAGCGGTAAGCCAAGCCTGTTACCATGGGTGATGCTGTCACTGCAGGCGACAGGGCCTTTTCAAGGGCATTAACACGTTTGAGTCCTGACTGCTGCATTCTCACCCGGGGCTAGAAGAGAGGCCTCACCAGGAGTAAGCTGTCTCCTTCAGACACACATGCTCGGTCAAAAAGCCTTATCTGAACCAGGTTCAGAAATGCTTGTAGCCCTCAGTGCCTTGGTGAGGAAAGTAAGCTCCTAAAGCTACGCTCTGGATATGCAACCAACTTTCTCTCGCATATCATTTACATTTTACATTTTAGTCATTTAGCAGACGCTCTTATCCAGAGCGACTTACAGTTAGTGAATACATATATTTTTTTTTATACTGGCCCCCCGTGGGAATCGAACCCACAACCCTGGCGTTGCAAACGCCATGCTCTATCAACTGAGCTACATCCCTGCCGGCCATTCCCTCCCCTACCCTGGACGACGCTGGGCCAATTGTGCGCCGCCCATGAGTCTCCCGGTCGCGGCCGGCTGCGACAGAGCCTGGATTCGAATCAGGATCTCTAGTGGCACAGTTAGCACTGCGATGCAGTGCCTTAGACCACTGCGCCACTCAGGAGTATGTTAGGGTGAGAGTGAGAGTGAATCTGAGACACCATGACATTTTACATCTATATACAGTGGGGGAAAAAAGTATTTAGTCAGCCACCAATTGTGCAAGTTCTCCCACTTAAAAAGATGAGAGAGGCCTGTAATTTTCATCATAGGTACACGTCAACTATGACAGACAAAATGAGGAAAAAAAATTTATGAATTTATTTGCAAATTATGGTGGAAAATAAGTATTTGGTCAATAACAAAAGTTTCTCAATACTTTGTTATATACCCTTTGTTGGCAATGACACAGGTCAAACGTTTTCTGTAAGTCTTCACAAGGTTTTCACACACTGTTGCTGGTATTTTGGCCCATTCCTCCATGCAGATCTCCTCTAGAGCAGTGATGTTTTGGGGCTGTAGCTGGGCAACACGGACTTTCAACTCCCTCCAAAGATTTTCTATGGGGTTGAGATCTGGAGACTGGCTAGGCCACTCCAGGACCTTGAAATGCTTCTTACGAAGCCACTCCTTCGTTGCCCGGGCGGTGTGTTTGGGATCATTGTCATGCTGAAAGACCCAGCCACGTTTCATCTTCAATGCCCTTGCTGATGGAAGGAGGGTTTCACTCAAAATCTCACGATACATGGCCCCATTCATTCTTTCCTTTACACGGATCAGTCGTCCTGGTCCCTTTGCAGAAAAACAGCCCCAAAGCATGATGTTTCCAACCCCTTGCTTCACAGTAGGTATGGTGTTCTTTGGATGCAACTCAGCATTCTTTGTCCTCCAAACATGACGAGTTGAGTTTTTACCAAAAATTTATATTTTGGTTTCATCTGACCATATGACATTCTCCCAATCCTCTTCTGGATCATCCAAATGCACTTCAGACGGGCCTGGACATGTACTGGCTTAAGCAGGGGGACACGTCTCGCACTGCAGGATTTGAGTCCCTGGCGGCGTAGTGTGTTACTGATGGTAGGCTTTGTTACTTTGGTC